CGTGACTTTACCGAAAGAGCCAAAGAGTATGGATCCCTGCAGTCACGAAAATCTCAAATCTAAATAGAATCTGATTGAACAATCTTTGTAAGGTGAGAAGCGACCAAGCGCCGCAGCTGTTGGGTTTTGACACGAGCACTCCCTGTGCGTTCATCAATGGCTTTCGTGAGCCAGACGAGGCCCTGCACGTTCCACTGCACAGTGGATCCAGCGAGCCCAGGGAGAGCATGGTCACTTCACCACTGCCACGGCTAAAGGAATTAATTTACTCCTCAATGTTTAATTTATTAATAGATTATCATCTGTCCCTTCTGTAAGGGGTACAGTGTTGCCCCCTTGCATGCCTGAGTTTTCTCCAGGTGCTCTGGTTTCCTCAATCATGTGTAAATATTAATTAATTGGCTGAAAACATAAAAATATATCGAGGACCATAGAGCTTGGGCAATGATTGGTAGTGCCAGCTTACCACCTGGCTGTTGCGTTGCCTCTTGTCGGTGGTTTGTCATACAATTTGCACGTAAAATATTTAACGTGTGTTTTGTGTTCACTACATAATCGTATTATCACATTCCTGCAAAAGAGTTGCCTTGTTGAATCAGGTCACAACAGTGCCCTTTCTGCTTCTTTGCCTGCATTGCTCCACTGTAGAATTCCCTCCCACTGTCTCTTTCCCAAGCTCATAGTGTAGTGAGCGACCTCCGAGACACGTCGGGTAGAAGGCTTCTAATTTATTAAGAGCACACTGGGCGATACATTTTGTAACGCAGCTACACATAGGCGATCCTAACACATAGCCCCATCTCCGGCTTCGTTACGCTAGCTGTCCGACTAGCGCAGCGACGGCGACGGAGAGGGTTTTGACGAAGATCAGCCACATGGTCGGGGACGAAGAGATGACGACGAGCAGCGACGCAGCCAGGACCCGCAACAGCACCGAGGCCGCTCACCGATCTTCCTTTAACATGCTAATCTCTCACATTAACATAGCCACCTCAGCGCACTCGCCCTGGAGGCCACTCACCAATCTTACTCTAACATGCTAATCTCTCACATTAACATAGCCACCTCAGCACGCTCGCCCTGGAGGCCGCTCACCGATCTTACTCTAACATGCTCATCTCTCACATTAACATAGCCACCTCAGCGCGCTCGCCCTGGAGGCCACTCACCGATCTTACATTAACATGATAATTTTTACCTGGCAGCCCTTTAATTGGTGGAAAACCCACCACCGTCGCGATCGCTGCCCACCACTACATTAACATAAGCTGCCCCGCCCATGCTGCTGACATTTGGGCTACGCCCATTTCAAACCTTTATAAACAGTTTGCCTTTAGAAGCTAACCCCCTTTTCCTGATGATAACCACTTGTGTTGCGATCGAAATGTCATAGTTTTTTTTTCTTTGAACCTATCTACGTGACTTTACCGAAAGACCCAAGAATATGTTTAGTAGACTTTTAAAGTTCCACGTCTTCTACTGTAATGGAATAAATGGATTTTCTCACTCACATATTTCTAATACATCTCGATTAATGTCTGTGGTTGTCTTTACCTGATAGCCAAACCTAATGTTGCTTTTAGAGCGTCCATATTGAATGCTCACGTAAAAAAACGCCCAAGTGTGACGATCAATGCAGTGGCTTTAAGCAGGCAGCAGCTCCGACTCCTGTCGACTGCAGTTATATCTATATGCACACACGCACACACGCAGAGTGGTCCCAACACCACACACATACAACTCGGGTAGGACTGTGTGCACGTGCAGGTCTGTAACCTTCAGGCTCAATTCACTCTAAAGTGCTTATGTTTTTAAATATTAATTTATTACGCATTGCCTTACATGTAAAATTCATGTAGTCTGATCTCTTGCTATATATTGCAGCTAGTGGTCATATTACTTGAGGTGGAAGCATTTTGGAAACTTATTGCACAGCGCCCATGTTGCACTTCTTTTTACGTTTAATAATTCATAATTATATATTTGGACAGTTTGGACTGGAAGGTTTTAATATACAGGCACGGTTCAAGGACTGTTGGTCGCTCAAACTCTGCAAACATGCGCAACGTAGAGAAGCAACTGAAAATTACATCTTCTTTCAACATATTTCCCTCCCATTAAATGAACATTCACCCGACTGAAATGCACTGACCTAGCCAACTCTAATCGTATCACCTAACCCTTTCCTGCTTTAAACTTTGGAAAAAGATAAGAAAAACATAATTGCTCACACACTACTCCACCGGTTTCAGAGGGTAGCGGGAGGAAATGGTGGGGAGGACACAGTGAGAGGATCTAAGCCCCCAGAGCCTCACTGCTGGTTGAGCGGCCGTGGTGGTGAGATGTTAACTCCCTCGCTTGGTATGCAAGAGGTCGTTGGTTCGAACCCGACCCTGACACCTATTTTCTTGGAGTTTGCAAATTCTCCCCGTGGTCGCATGGATTTTTCTTTGGGTCCTGCGATTTCCACCGCCACATTTAGAATCGTGCGTTTAGAGTATTTGGCTGCTATAAATTTCCACATAAGCGACTTCATTGGGCTATCATTTGTGACCAAGTTGCTTCTGAAAAAGAGCTATAAAGCTCAGTGGGCCTTACCTGGCAAAATAAAAAATAGTTTAGAGTTTACTTGGGCCCTGGTCCTCGGCCCTTCCTAGGACCAGGGCCGGCAGAGGCTGCTGGTTGCAGGGAGTGGTTGAGTTGAGGCATAAACGCCACCAAGATGCCTCTCGAGGGGTCTACTTCGATGGAAAGCCTCGCTTCACCTCGATTGTTGGTGGCTTGTTCTCACGGGTCAGGTGATGCATCCATGTCTCATGTCGGTTATATTCACAGTGTTCCAAGAGATTGAAGCAGTGCTTTTCTATAACCCAGTGGTGAGAATTCCACTTTTCTATTCTATCTTATCAGCAGAGGGTGCATGCAATGAAATTGATGCTAATGGGATGAAGGCTGATATTGTAGAAGCATCTATGAACCATGTGTAACAGGTATTGCCCACAATTTGCTGAGGTGCCATGTAATAATCTTACATTGGCATTTGTTATAATTTTTAAACAAATCATTTGATGATAGGCCGACATCGTTGGTATTGATGTCCATGCAAAAAATAATTCGGAAGGCCTACCTCTCTGGCCTCTATGTGTGCTATGACGAAGCGCCATTTCCCAAAACTTTTCCGCTTACTTTTCCTTTCAGGGCCAGAGTGTCATCGATGAAAGTATTTCGTGTTGCATTTCTAAGTGAAACATAAAACGGCGACTACAATTGGTGACTGTTAAGCAGATGCGCCTACCGAGTTTTATCCACTGCGTGGACGTGTGTGGGAGTGAGTGGCATGAGAATCCTCCCATGCTTCAACGGGGGGCCCATTGTGTCCTCCGCTCGTTCCCTGCCGTCATCTTTCACAGATAATGGGGCCCGATGAGATCTCTCCACCCCGTTCCCTCCCGCCTTGCACTGGCTTCATGGCTGCTGCCTTCGCTCATCACCCTCTTTGCTCGACGTCCTTCCTCAATCGTGTTGATCCAGCCAATATTTGCTGTCCCTCTCCTTCTTTACCCGTGTGCTTGTGCAACGCCATGCATGCCGTTCTTTTGGGTTTCATGAAGCCCCACTGCCCTCAATCCCAGAGCACCACAGATTTAAGCCATCGTACGCTACAAGCAGACCCGACCACTACAAATTTTAGCTGTCTATTGTATAACAGAAATGTAATTGTTTAATGGTAATTAACCTTTCAAATTATATATTATGCCTGTGGCAGTGGGTTGCATGAGACATTATTATTGTTCTCTGCACGACTTTACATGATGAGGGAAAATGCCACTTGTTAAGTGCAACTGCACTTGGTTTTAGAGACTGCAACCGTGTGTTTCTTATTTTAATTTCATAGTTATTGTGTATAGGAGTGATTTGAAATGTATTTAAGGACTAGCCTTTTGCCCATCCAAGGACGGGTGTATTTCAGTAAATCTCAAACTTGCAAGCTAAAAGCAGACCGCGACGTGATATTCATTGCATCAATTCACGTGCAATTTGTAAGGCCGCGGTGACAGACTTATTCCATTTAAAGGTTATTATCCCTTGTTCATCATGACGTCCTTTTTACTTCCATGTCTCAACAGCGTCACGGAGATCGCGTGATGTGAGGGTTCTGCCTTTTTAGTGAGGGTTGTAAGTTGACGCTGAGGAGGGGGGAGGAGGCGCCTCGCCCCCCCCCCCCCCCCCATGTGGAGTGACGTCACCCTCTAATATTACATTATTAATGTGGGGGGCTGTTCGATGTGGAGTGACGTCACCTGCTCATGATTATTAATGGAGGGGAGGGGGGGGGTCCATGTGGAGGACGTCACCTGTTCATGAGTATTAATGAGGGGGGCTGGCCAACGTGGAGTGGCTTCATGCGCGGGATACACAGACATTCTTGGCTCGTTATAGTAGTAAACATTTAAAAAAGTTTTACAAAATAAAAACATGGCATGAACTAAAATACACACAAGACGTGGCGCCTGACACCGTGGTGAGGTCACACACAGGAAGTGGTGCATGACACCGTGGTGAGGTCACACACAGGAGGTGGTGCATGACACCGTGGTGAGGTCACACACAGGAGGTGGTGCATGACACCGTGGTGAGGTCACACACAGGAGGTGGTGCATGACACCGTGGTGAGGTCACACACAGGACGTGGTGTGTGACACCGTGGTGAGGTCACACACAGGAGGTGGTTCATGACACCGTGGTGAGGTCACACACAGGAGGTAGTGCATGACACCGTGGTGAGGTCACACACAAGACGTGGTGTGTGACACCGTGGTGAGGTCACACACAAGACGTGGTGTGTGACACTCTGGTGAGGTCACACACAGAACGTGGTGTGTGACACTCTGGTGAGGTCACACACAAGACGTGGTGTGTGACACTCTGGTGAGGTCACACACAAGACGTGGTGCGTGACACCGTGGTGAGGAAGCTCACCCGCCTTTGCCTTCTCCTAGGTGCGGCCGTGAACCTCACCCTGGTGACGCCGGAGAAGGCCATCAAGCTCGCCGCCAATGACTTCTTCAGGAACATGCTCAGCAAAGACGGGTGGGTGAGACACTGCCCTCTGGCCTCCCGCCCGGGATGCGGCTCGGCCTGAAGCACGTGCACTTGCCGGCTCGCCCCGCACATGAAAGTAAACGGTGGCCTCGACTAAACGGGGCTCTACAGTCAAGTGTGGCGTTCTCTCGGACACAGCCTTGCACTGTGCTCACGGGATTTTGTGGGGAAACGTGCACAGCTGCACATTTCATAACATATTACCCTGACCCTCAATCCAGTAACATCGTCTAAATTGGGCCCCGTTGTAGAAAGGGCCTCCAATGGACGCTTCTGCTTAAAGGCTATACCATTGAATGTAATTTTTTTTTATTTTAAGTACCTTATGGGGCCTCATATCCCCGTTAGAGGTTTACTCAGCCCATATTCTCTTCGGTGAATACAATTAGTACAGCTTTGTAGGAATTTAACAGTAAGCAGTCAGAGTAATTTGGATTGTTTACTGGTGGCTTAGGGCTACGCTTGAGTGCCAGAGGATGAAAACGATACCACAGAATGAACTCTGCTGCATCTTCTAAAGTGGTGCATGTAGTACGCAAAAAACCCCTGCCTTAATAGCATAATCTTACAATCCCACGTGTTATGCAGATTATCATTATTATTGTAGCAATACACCAACCTCTGCTACCTCCAAAATCCCACTTCCGATACCTCTCGTAAAGGTGAATGAGGCCCATTCCTTATTGCTGCCATCAGCTGCGTGTTTGGAATGCTCATCTCAGAGGCCCCCATTGTCCAACCCCAGTGAAGGTGCTGCTTGCAAACCTGCATCGTCCATATTCTACCAAAACTGTCTCGGTTGCAAGTGACCCATTTTGACCCCTGGGTGTACTTATGGTTGTAGTGAACACATACTCGAGTGAGATGTTGAACAGAGTGGGAGACAAATTTTTATTTAAAGCTTTTGTGACTGCAGTAATTCATATTCTTAGCTCTTTCGGTAAAGTCACGTTGAAGGGAAACAATAAAATAATAAAATATATATAACAATAAAAATTCTAACGACGTTTCGACCATAACACAAACCTGATGACGACCGTTTGTGTTATGGTCGAAAAGTCGTGAGAATTTTTATTGTTTTTTATATATTTTATTGTTTCCCTTCAACGTGACTTTACCGAAAGAGCTAAGAATAGAGTAGGAGATAATTTACAACTCTGCTGCAGAACACTGATTCCTCAAATCACTCTCATGTCTCCCACTTTAACCTCACACAAACATGGGTGTCATCATGGCTTAGACTGTGCCGTACCAGCAAAAGAGTTGCCTTCCCTCATAGCAGAATCATATGCTTGTTTAAACTTTCCAAAACAAATACAATAATTAGTTACACTTTCTAAACTCTTCTGTATTTGCTTTTTTGTAAAAATAAGGACTCCTTAACATCCTCGCTCCAAGCCCACTGTGGTCTTTCCTGCATCGTGATTACATCTGCTTGTTTTTCCTGTTGAGAAAAAAAACTTTTGGTAAACACCTTCCCTGGAATGCTCAGTAAACTTATCTTCCTAGAGTCAGCACACTCACTTCTGTCCCCTTGCTTAATTATATCATGAGGGGCCTTTTCCACTGCTTTGGCCACTACGGCCTACACCTAGCAACTCTGATTGCATTGGCAGCTCCGCCAGTGTCTGTCGACGACAAGCAGAGCGAGTGAGCCACAGGGCTCCCTTCTCACCGATCTGCCAGGTCGGGGACTGCCGACTTCTTAGTTGCTCGTGTACATATGGATTTGGTTGTAAATGCCATTGGGTTAACCTGCAGGACCCGAAAAGTTAAAGTGTTTTTTGCACCGTACGTTTTACAGCAATAAATGTCACTGTCTCTCCACTTAAACTATCACCAGAATTTACTGTTTAATCCCGGAGACAGGGCACATCCAGGTGAACGGTGTGTCTAGCAGGCAGAAGGCAACTGTTATTATCTTGGGCCTTGTGCAAAGTACCTGGGTTGTACCGCTTGTAACAAGCACAAGAGGGCGCTAAAAGGAAGGCTGGCTAGGCAAATGAGTTTTAGTGCTCCTCCTGCGTGTGCTTTTCAGGTGAAAATTACGTTTGACAGAAGTGGTAGTCAGAATAATTATTGTGACATGTTTATTGCACGTGTGTTCTTGGCGTATGTTAAAGTGAGATTCTAACTGTGGCAATGTGGTGTGTCAGCGGTGCCACGGTGGCGAGATGTTAACTACCTCGCCTGGGATACAGGAGGTTGTGGGTTCGATCCCGAACCTCACACCATTATATTTGGAGTTTGCATGTCTCTCTCCCCGTGATCACGTGGATTTTTCTCCGGGTCTCCTGGTTTTTTCCCTCCACATTTATAAACATGCGTTTAGAGCATTGGCCCGCTATACATTTCCACGTGATGAGTCACTCGTTGAGCTTTTTTAGTTTTAGTTAGTTTAGTTTCTAAAAATGTCATTTTGTAGATGCGCTGTGTGTCCCATTGTAATTAACCTCTGACCTCTCTATGTGCTGTGAACTGGCAATGCCCATTGCCCGAAACGTCCCCAATTATATATATATATATATTTTAGGCCATTGTTATTGACAAATGTGAGTTTTTTGTTTGTTATTTCTGCTTGTGCACCACTGTCAATTATGTCTCACTGAAATAACCTGTAAAAAATATTCACGCAACCTACCCCACAACTGATGCCTACTCGTGCACAATAATTTCTGATATTTTTATCAAATGGACACTATTGGAATTTATTTAAGCTTCGGATGATTGTTTTATACATTATTTACTTTTAGAATTTCACCCGCTGTGACCGTGCATGGTGACATTGTGTTGTGATTTGCTCCAAGGAGCGTGCACTGCTTATCTATATTAGGAAATGCAGACTCTCCCAATACTGCTGGGATATAGTATACATTCCACAGCTATGGTACTGTTATATTTGTTTTCATATAGCATCAAAGCTGAAAGTGGATATTCACATACTGGACTGGATTTCAACATTCAGCAGATTATCTAGGAGATTGTAAACAGGGGCTCAATTGTGCAAAATGTATGACTGGTGGTGCTCCCGGGAGCCCAGTGGCACTCGTGGGAGCGACTTTTAAACTTCACAGCGAGTGAGTGACACAACGGGGAAATTCCCAGCTCGCTTTCCCTCCTCACCTCGGCCCTGGCTTGGACACACGCGCTCCTTTTGAGACACAGTGGGAATTAGGGATTACACTTTCTTACAGTCCCTAATCCAGGGGTGTCTAAACCTTCCGATCGCCAGATTGACTGATGTGTTCATAGCCACGGGCCACAGACATGCAACGTACCTCCATAATATGTAAACATATTTCCGTAAATATTATGTAAATATAATTACGCGATCTAACCGAAAAAGACCCTCTTATGGATGATATTGGTCGCGAAAGCCTATGTGTTGAAATGCAACGTACAGCATGCGATTACGAAATAAGATTTATAGGAGATATATGCATTAACATATGATAGGAGAGATGCAGTCATATAAGAGAGATAGAAGCGAACAGCATTCAGACTATATGAGCTAGAAGAAATATGATTGTCAGAATAATTTGAGATAAGATACATATATAAGAGATAGGATATAGATGATATAACATTCATTAAGATATCAGAGATACGAACCAGTTGTATTCACAATCGAGCTGGAAAGGAGAGCTTTACGACGTTTTAAGAAGAAACAGTAGGAAGAGGAGAGTGATTATTCAGTAGAGATAGAGAAGAGAGTTGCATTCTGAGACGAGATGGAGAGGTGGGAAAGACGTAAATATTCATAGAAAATATAAGACATATATTTAGACGTATTCAGAAGACATAGGGGACAAATATGAGAGAAAATATAGAGGAGACATGATAGTGATGTACAGAGGTATAAGCACACATGTACAATACTCAAGCATTCTGCGGCCTGAATCCCAATGTATTTAATTTGAAAGGTGCGGAGTAATATTGAGTGATGCTGGCTGTGGGCTAGATTAAATAAGCGCACGCTCTGGATTTGGGCCATATAGCGTAGTTTGTACAGCCATGATAACGTTCAATTAGATCATATACATGTGCAGGAAATGCACTTCTTCATTAGATGCCAATTAAATATGTTACCAGTGCCTGCTGAAGGCAGCAAGACAACCTGTCCATGCATCGTGGTATTGTCTTGTGCAGAAGTGTGTAGTGGGACATTAGTTTCCTCATCGTTCGACATTGTAGTGCAAAGTGCAATCACGTATCTTGGAAGTGGTGTCCTCTTGTGCCCTATTTGTGCCGCTACGCATTCTCATCCAGCGATACATTTCCATCGCGGTTTGCTATTAATTACCAGCACCATTGCGATGCCTTGCATCATCTTAGTGTGTAGGGTGCTGCTGCTGTGAGGTGTGCCATCCCGCGTTTTTGACAGCGTGCGCCGTCCGCGTGCTGCGTTGCGCCGCTGTGACGCAGGAAGAAGTTGACGCTGTTCCGGGAGATGCTGGCAGGCTGCGGAGCCGGCACGTGTCAAGTGATCATCACCACACCCATGGAGATGCTCAAGATTCAGCTGCAGGATGCCGGCCGCCTGGGTGAGTCCCTCTCGGCTGGGTTCCTTTGCATTGGTATCGGTTAGGCATTGAGAAACGTGAGGTGAAGGGAACCCCGTGGAAGTAAGTCTGAGCATTTATTATCGTGTACTCTATGAACTAAACTAAAACGAAACTTTTTATTTTGCCAGGTAAGGCACACTGAGGTATATTGCTTTTTTTCAGAAGCGACCTGACCACAAATGATAGCCCAATAAAGTGGCTTATCATGTGGAACTTTGTAGCAGACAAATACTCTAAACGCATGTTTCTAAACACGGAGGGAAAGCCTGGAGTACCCGGAGAAAAATCCATGGCACCACGGGGAGAACATGCAAACTCCAAATATGCAGGCGTCAAAGTCCAGATCGAATCCGCGGCCTCCTGTATACTGGGCGAAGTAGTTAACATCCTGCTACCATTGTGCCCTAGTCTAGGCCATCACAAATGCGCACTCATCACACGTAGTAAGCCCTTAGGAACAACACTGTTTTAAGTCTCTTGCAAAACTGCCTCAGGCTCAGGTATGGATCCCGGACATGAGTTGTTAACTTCTTCCAGGTCTTTGGGCCAGAGACCCTGAAAGTGCATTAGCCGTATCACCACACGAGGTTCACACGTGATTTGTACAGAAGATCACTGTGGGCTGCGCATTGTAGACGGTGTCGATGTGGGGTCTGTTCAGACCGGTAAGCACTGATCAGCAAGATAGGACGGAGCAGATTTATGCAGACTCGTGTGTTTGCGAAACGATGTGTATAATGCAGGGGGTATTGGGAATAATGCCAAGAGTTGTTATTGTGCTATCGTGGAAAGTAGTTCATAAACTGAATACATAATTTAGGGAGTGTAGAGAGATATCAACTTGAGCATTGAAGATACAACAGAAAACAAATCTCTTTTATAGACAGGATGTCTCACACGAGTTTGCAGCATTATGAATGAGACAGTAGCATTGAAGTTACAGCTATTTCAGGATTCTGTAGTTGTGTGCTTTTTGGTTCGACTTGAATTTCAGTGCACAATCGGCGCTTTCCCATTTACCCGACATTTAAACGGCCTCCCTTCTCATGGGTCAGCGTCGCTTTGGTTTGTATTTTGCTGCAGCAGACAGGTGCGGTGCAGTGGGGAGGATTGTCGTCCATGTAGCTCGTCAAAGAGCTGTAAAAGCAACGTCTGGCCGTTGAGCAACAGCGCGTGCAGAGACTGTTTGGTAAATGTGCACGGTGTAGTTTGGGAACATTGTGTACCCAGAAAGTGTTCTCGATGCAGTCCTGAAAGGGAGGGTAAAGATGGGTGAGCGAATGTGTGGGAGGAAAGAGGAGAGGGTTGGAGGAGAGCGTGTTTAAGCACGAAATGAAAGATGCTGGGGTTCTCTGCCATTAGTGATACAGCCATGGTGACCTCTTGACCTATTTAAGATCACGTGCGCATGTATATGCTAGAAATACAGCTACACTCCTCTGTGGTGACTATCCAAACCCCCTCCTCAATCTGCTGATGGGTCTGGCAGCGTAGTCTCATTCCCCTAAGTGTGGACGTGGTTTCAAACACTGGGGAACGACTCTGAAAAATGCATGCAGGCAGGCTCGTACGTTTACACAGACGGGTATACCACACATGCGTGTGTGTAAGTTTCGTTTTTTTGTTCAACTAGGTGAGAACTCACAGGAGCAGGATAGCCTCATTGCATGAGTGACGTGGTATCACAATACATTTGATGAACACCATCTTTGGGCAAGGAATAGTGTCAGGCCATTGCATCGTGATGTAGTTGGTGGACTCTGTTTGCCCTGCTTTAACTTTGGATTGTTCAGCATCTCAGAAGATTGTACAGTACACTCTCAATCTATTCTGTGCGTGAGAATGGCGGCAACAAAAGTTTAGGCCAAATTTTTTCTCGAAAGTTTCCATCAGCAGAACGTTCCACAATTATAGAATGTGATGGGTTCATAAATTGGGCTACAATTTTTTTGTTGCAAAATTGAAGAAGTGCTGCAGGATAAACATAGTCATAGCACATTATGTTTATAATGGTAATGTTGATGAAATAGTCCTTAGGTGGGCAATTATGCTCGGGAAATGTGCAAGCAGTGTGTAGATGTGAGTGGGCGGATTTAAAATTGTCAGCACTAATCATCGATTAGGGAGAAAAACAATCTTGCTCTCGCACGATTATTTGAGATTGTAGCTCGTTCGCAGATGTGGCTGTGGCTCAGAGCACTAACGATCCCGTCTCATTCAACACTTTCAAGTTTGTGAGCCCAACTGAAATAGCAACATTTAAAATGCTTCTCTAAAAGATTGTGGTTTATTCATTCGGTCCCTTCAAAAACAAAAGCAGGAACATTTCTCCCAATTATGTGGATTCAATGCACATCTACAGCCTTTGAAAAATTGTATAAAATATTTTTTATTTTACCAGATGAGGCCCACTGAGCTATACAGCTCTAGATTTGAAGCTTTCGTGACTGCAAAGATTCATACTCTTTGTTTTTTTCGGTAAAGTCACTAAATTAAATCACGACGTTTCGGAGGCAACACAAGCTTCCGTCTTCAGGTGGAACAGTCACAGCAAGATTGTACTATACAGCTCTTTTCAGAAGGGATTTGGCCACATATGATAGCTCATCGAAGTTGCTTATCTTGTGCAAAATTATAGCAGCCAAATACTCTAAACGCATGCTTCTAAACATGTTTAGTTGTTGCTAAACCACTGATGGATTGTGTGGTTATTTGACCTTACTTTACCATGCTGTCAGTGGTGGTTGGTGAAGGCGAACAGAATAGACGTTGGAGCATATTACTGTACATTTCAACGATTCATGATGCTGCACCGCCCTCTGCTGACAGTATAGCACTGCCGATGATGTGGCCACGTGGATTAATAGCTTTGTGATGTGCATTGTAAGTTCTGGTGCTGGACAAACGGAGTGAGAAAAATCAAAGAGTGGGGCGGTCATCGTAGTGCCAGTTTTTCACAGAAAGTCCCTGCATTGCAAACTGGACCACAATGCTCAATATGCAGCACGAGGAACTGTGTGGGCCACAAAGCCAATGTCACATGAATTACATTGGGTCGCTTGTGTTGCGGCATCATTGAACGTTGTGTGTAACTGCCACGACGTATGGCCTTTAGTAACGGCCTTGAGCCAACAGGGGGCAGAAGCGAAGCCGATGGAGATGAGTGAGGCCGTTAGGCCAAGGTAAACCCCAGTGTAGCTCGGGACCAGGGGTACAGACCCCAGACCCCCAAGAGGGGGACTGCGGGATAACGTCACGCTCCAGGCCTCTCCAGACGGTTCCAGAAGGGACGAGTGCCTAGGGGCGGAGTGAGCCAGAAAACGGTGTAAAAGCCGGTCCCCTGAACAGGACCGGCAGCCGTCGTTTACCTGAAGACCGAAGAGCCACCCCAGAGACCTGGAGCTGCCACCTGGAACGCCCATTGCGAAGAGCCCAAAGGGCAGAACCCGAACCCCTGGCTAGGGTCAGGACAAAAGCTTAGCCAGTGTAGGGTCAGAGCTTAACCAGAGTAGGGTTAGAGCATCACCAGTGTGAGGGCAGAATAGTCCGGAGGAAATACCTCCTTAGTGTATCGGGTGGAAGGGGCCGTACCCCTTTGTGTTATGTAAATATTAAATAAACGTGCTGCCCCCAGAGGAGAGAAGTCTCCTCAAGTTTTGTACCCACTACACTTGTAAGAGAGAAGTCATGGATTTAAAAAACATGCATGAGCAGGCTATGAGACAGATAGGCTAGTGGTCAGGGAGCGTATTGCAAACTGGTGATAATGCAAGTTAAGGCAGGGGTGAGTGGATGGGTCGTGGTTAGCTGGCCATGAGAGGGATGGCTGAACGGATCGGTGAATGAGCTGTGAGAATGAACGAATTGACCGGTGAATAGGCTGAGATCAAGAGTGAAATGTGAGGCTAAACACAAGTTTCTTGTGGTTTATGTTCCCTAGGTGAGAACAATTAACAATGTCGCTAAGTCTTGCTTTTCGCAAGCAATCTTTCTGTAAATTACATTTGTTCTTGTAGTTTTAATTGGCCAATCATAAATCTGATTTAGTTTCTCTTTGTTACATTCAAAATGATCCCTTCTATCGCACTTTGGCATTATTATCACTTTTTTCCTTTTCAATTAGATGGAGACCAGATTCATGCTTGTAGGTGGTCCAATACAAGAATGAATCCATTTCCTTTTCAAATACATTGGCGATGTTCCTTTCATGATGGTGTTCAATCAGCCAAGCTTAAGATAAATGCTGGCCAGATACTGGCTGAGTTGGTTCTGTACGAGAACCGGGCCAGGACGAGTATTCCCACAAAAACCTCCGCATCTGTTTTCCTTTGCAGAGTTCTACCTGAGGAGTTCCTATCATGAAAGAAAAAAAAACAAAACTTGCTGCGGTGTCCTTGGCAATTCCTCAGAATTTGTGTGACCTCGTTTAACCAATCTCAGAGTTTTCGTGCGACATTACGTTGGGACAATTTTTCACCCGAGCCACTGACCCATAATGCAACTCTCTCCGCAGCATTGCCGCTTCATTGTAAAATGGAGCTACGTAGACTGCAGCATCTGATTTCTGCCATTAGACGTGGCCGTTTACCGGCTTCACCGCCTCTTACTTGCCTTTCGCGTTTCACGCCGTGCGACGGACACAGCGGCGCAGAAAAGCCTGTTTGGATCGGCGCCCGCGGGGAGCGCCGGAAAGAGGGAGGCGGCAAGTGGAGCGAAGCCGCCCATGCCGGGGCCCGTGCCAGGGCCTGTGCCACCAAGCCGGGGCTTCTCGAGCGGGACCCCACTGGGGGCATCGCGCTCTGCCTTGCAGATCACACGCGACCTCCTGCGCGCACAGGGCATCGCCGGCCTCTACAAGGGCCTGGGGGCCACCCTGCTGAGGTACATGAGCGGTACCACATGCCGATCCACCCTGGCATGGCGAGTGAGCAATATGCACCGACACACTGACCCACCCTGTGCAGTATTCCCCCACCGAAGTTTAACACCTAGATAATGATAGTGGGGCATGTGGCGTCTGTGCAGGGACGTCCCTTTCTCAATCATCTACTTCCCACTCTTCGCCAACCTGAACTCGCTCGGGGTGACCACGCCGGGCGAGCGCGCGCCCTTCTACCATTCCTTCGCCTCGGGCTGCATCGCGGGGAGCATGGCGGCCGTCGCGGTGAACCCCTGTGACGGTGGGTGCCACCGACCGGCATTTCTCGCCGCAACGCCACGGCACAACACCGCCGTGGCTGCCAAGGCCTGCCTCATCACAAAGACAAAGGTCCCCCGTTTTTACCTTAGTTTCGCCTTAACAGACTGTTGGGGCAAGTGCTGTTAGGAAGCAGCCCTTATTAGGTCCAGTGCAGCACACGAGGGAGTGGGTGGCCAACACCACGCCCGGCCGCCTTTGTTTCCCTCGTGACGATGTTTTTAAACAGCACCAAGTACTCATTTGAGGCTGAGTCGACCTAGAGGAGGCCCAGGACTGGTTCAAATGATCGTTAATGGTGTTGGCCGTAAGCGGGAATCGAACTCGTGTGGCCAGGTTCGTAGCCCAGTGCGCTAACCGCTACATTACTGCTCACACACGCACACGTGCGAGCACGCTGTGGCTGCGTTTACACACGCCGCTCAATGCACTCTCAAATTGCTCCATTCGAATATACACAGCAGTTGTCACCCTCCTGCACCTCCATTTAGCACGGTTGGCTATGTATGGTGCGAAACAAGTTGAACATACATACTCCTGAAAAATAATCATGAGAGTCAATAAGGCTTTCCTAGATTAACAATTGTAATATCAATAAAACTCACTGCGGCGTGCCCCGAGTTATCCAAACTCAGAATGTTTCACCAATTTTAGATATATAGATTTTTTTTTTCCACGTGGGAGAAAGCTGTCGTGACCACGGAAGACCCATGCACACGAGTGCATAACTCTCAAATGCCACCATACACATGCCAGATGCGTGCTCCGTATGCTTCATGCATGGGGTGATCGACGAACCCAGCCTACAAGTCACTGGATTACGGGTGTGCATCTTCACCACTCCCAGTCACTGTTTTATCAATGGTTAAATAAGCATAGGTGGCAAATGTCCTATCACTTGTGTGTGCTCCAGTCAGTGGCTTATGTGTCCATCATCCATCGGTTCCCTGCCATCTGGGGTATGTTGCATTGCTCCAAAATGGCCTCTGCCTTTGGCCTCCACTCAGTTCTCATGAACCATTAGCATCTGGGTCGTTAGCGATTTGACTCATCCAGGATAGGCAAGGGGTAAGTAGAGTCGGGAGGTATGCACCGGGGCTGCGATGGGGCTGCAGTGCCCCCTCCTAACTTCGTCCCTGTGACTGTAGTGATCAAGACGCGGCTGCAGTCGCTTCAGAGGGGCGTGAATGAGGACACCTACACAGGGATTGTCGACTGCACCAAGTGAGCGGCTGCCTATTCCCCAACACAAGCACCACTCACTCACCCGTCTCCACCCACCTTGTGCCACCCACCTTGCGTTGGGATGCCCCATGGATATTTTTTTCTGACATGCAGGAAAATCCTGGCGAAGGAGGGCGGCCGTGCCTTCTTTAAGGGCGGTGGCTGCCGCGCGCTCGTCATCGCGCCCCTCTTCGGCATCGTGCAGGTCATCTACTTCTTTGGCGTCGGTGAGATGATCATCGACTACTTCCACTAGCAGCGCCAGAGCGCAGCTAGAGTGGGCGGCCATGATGCGGAGAGCCATTGTTGTGGGCCTGTCAGCCACAACGTACATCAACATACGCAGCCTGACAAGCCCTACACACACACGTAGATATACTTACACCTGGGTGCATATATACACACACACAAACACACAAGGACAGATACACTTATACTTGCAAGCTCATAGAGACACATACACTCACACAAGTTTACACTTGGGTACACGTACAGCTATGCCTATTTTAGTTGTCTTCACCAGTTACACGCTATCCCAGATTAACGTATACTGTGTCACCTTCACCAGCTATATACACACGCTCGACAAGTGGTCATTTTTAGAGGGAACATATACCCCGTTACACATATATCCGGCTCAACATAACAGCTGTACGAGGTCCAGCCATACATCCAGAGGGCTCATCCACTGAGCACACGCGTGCCCTACTCGACGTGCACCCAGGCGAGAGCGCTAGCTCGAATGCGCAAGCAGTGTGACAATCCACGCACAGACGTTCTTTAATTTGGTGGTGGGGGGGGGGGGTGATCTCGTGGGTAGAGCTGCTAGGATCGAGCCATGAGCTTTGGGGGTGTAGCAGGGAGGTGGCGCCGTGGGTGTGTGTGCGCGCGCCAGCTCGGCTCGCACGCACGCAGCACGCGGCCACCAGAGGTGCCTTCTGCAGTGGGGCGTTGGACAGTGAGTCGCGCACACACGCATGCACGCATGCATGCACGCACGTCGGCGTGAGCAGGGGGTCTATTGTGCGAAGGTGAACGGCGTTAAGAAATCATCTGTCCTGTCACTGAGACGGGACACTGAATACTGCTGCTCCATAGTTAAACCAATGCTATGTTTTAATTATTTCGACTTTATATTTATTTTACACACCTTATTTTAAGAGAAACAGATATTGAATCATACTCTTTGGTTATTTCGGGAAAGTCACGTAGATGGAAATTTAAAATTAAAATAAATAAAATAAAAATAATAGATCACGCCGTTTATATCGCAACAACAAGCGAGTATGAATTCCTGCAGTCACGAAAGCCTCAAATCAAGATTAGATATTGAATCCCTTTAGTGTTGCGATATTTTGGTTTGCACTTAGCACATGATAGTTTAGTCGCATAATGATTCTACTAATGGCTTTGCCGACAAATGAAAACAGGTGTGGGTTTACTGTGAGCAATATCTGGGGTCACACGGACACGTGTGCCGGTGGCCACCTGCTTGTGCCCAGCTGAGATGCTGCTTCATGCCCTGCGCCTGTGGGGTGTCGGCCCTCGTCTCCCTGTTCCTGAGACGATAGTTTAAGCCTTGTGATGATTTGCGGTATTTGTCCATCTCCCCTAGGGGCCACACTGGTCCTGGCTATACTCCCTTGCAGTGCGCATGCATGATCCCTGTCATGTGTCAGCCCTGCGTACACTACACTGTCGCTCACCTCTCACATCTAAAATACCCCCCCATAGAAAATTAAGACATGAAAGATATTGCTGTATGAACCCTCTGTAGTTTTTGTGGGTTTACAGAACACATTGCTTCTTTCAAGAACGCAGCATAACTTTTGAGGTTGGAGAACATAGATGCCTATGTCTCCTATGAGATTCCAAGATGCATAAACACCAGTGACTATGCGATAGCCACTGGCTTGTGCTTGCAGAATGCTAGTTATGCTTTTCCCTGATGCTAAGCATTGCACAATCTGATGCAAGTAAGTTGTGGATTGCGATACCCTCTCCGTGCATTTTGTTCCTGGCTATTCTGCTGAGCATGGCAGGGGAAGGGATGAGAGTGGGGATGGGATTCTATTGCTTGTGGGTACGCACATGAACCTTAGTGGCTACATCTGTGAACAACGGACATTTGATTAGTGTTATTGTGACTGTGAAATATTATATTTTGTTGAATCAACACTAATTATAACAGCTTTAAATTAATTTAAGTGTACTTTAGGTAGACATTGATTGTGTTTTTTTATTAATTGTACATGATCTAGGCAAGGTATGAATCTCTAGCTATGAGTAGCAATTTTAAATATTAACTTATTGGCGTGGGTTTTTCCATATTTTTTGCACTAAATACATACACCGGCTGCTGCTTCCACATCACTACTCACCCTTGTTTCTTTACTTTTTTTTATCACACTCGCTATTGTTTCCCTACACACTGATCCGACTCACAATTTACGTCGTTGTTTTGAAATTTGGCCACTGCGCGTTTCGGCGGCATCCCTTCACAAACCCCAGAGTGGCCACTCGCAGATCGCCCTTCGCTAGTGAGCGTCGCACACACGCTTGCACGCCCGCCCACGCATTATTGTTGCTCACGTCGGCACTTATTTAGGGCAAACGTGACAGCGGGTTTGGCAGCTGCACGTCTCTGCTAAAAAAAAAAACCTCTGATGACCTATTAGATTGGATCAATATTTCCTACTGACTTGGTCGTTCACTTGCTCTGGAGTTTGGTACTTAGAACATTTAAGTAGACGTTGACTATGTGAAGCATCTAAACAATGGCTCTCTAGGCCATGCACCTAAGGGACTGGCGCTAGTGCCTCTGCACTTTGATTATGTCAGTGTATTTTGTTGCACACTGAGCGTGGTGTAAGTGAGGTAGCACATCGATTGTGCGCTGCTCTATGCTGCACGAAAACCTCGTTTCCCCGAGTTTTCTCTGCACAGTAACGTGCGCCAGAGTGAACCACCCCGCACCCTTAGCTGGAGCTAAGGAAATATCTGATCCATGATAATCGTAGATGTTGTTTCCATGCATTCCCAGCCATACAAACTATAAATCACAGAAAAAATTGTGTCTTAAGAGTCAGTGTCTATGCACAGTTAACTCTGAGGGTGTGGATCGGTGAGCCTCCGTACCTCTAACCCACAAATTTCGACATGTGGACAGTGCTGTTTGAGTGGTGCATGCCTGTAATGCTGTAGGTCGATAGGATGTCTGTTGGAAACGGACTTGCTGTACTGTCCTTCCACACACTCTAATTTATTCAATGTACTGATCTAAGATCCTAAGCAGGGCCCCTTTTTTAATAGGATTCTTCATATTCAGTCGGGTATTTTGGGGTAAATAAATAATGAGTGGTAATGCACAATTAAACACTGACAAAAACCAGACTCTATAGGAGTTGTGTGGGTCCTTCTTTCAGCAGCCTACATGCAATTCATGTTTATGTTAAGCTCCCTTTTGGTAGGTGCCACGTTTTATGTGAATAGCTGAAGCTTGTAAATGCACCGACTGGTGAGTTGGTTTATAGTCAGTGCCAGCAAAGTGAATATTCGTGCAGATAACGTCCACATTGGACTTTGTTTAAATGAAATAATACATTTATCAATTTGACTTAAATGTAGTCGAGATCATTTAAAGCATAAACCCTATTAAATTTCGAATTTAACAGATGGGTAAGATTATTGTAAGCGACCTTTTTTGGATGTCCTAATAAAAAAGAGACCTGATGGTTCAATAAGCCACTCTGTCTACAGGAAAGCTACCCATACGGATGCTTACCTGAAATCGGATTCCCACCACCATCCATCCCAGAACAATTCCCTCATCAAGACTCTGCACCATAGAGCCCAATGCATATCCGACCAGGAACACATAGCCAGTGAACTCAAGCACGTACACCAAGCTCTTAAGGCTAATGGTTACTCCGACTACACAATCCGCAAAGCTATCACTCCAACCATGAAGAAGGACCCTCTTAAGGAGCCTTTCAAAACCATCACTTTACCCTACATTGCGGGGATCACAAAAAAGATCTCCAAAATCTTGAATAAACACAAGATCCAGGTCCGATTCAACACATTACATAAAATCCGTGATCTGGTTCCGTCTGTAAAAGATGTGATTCTGGACATACAGTACCCTGGCGTCTACAAACTAAGTTGCCTCTGTGGTAGTAGTTACATTGGAAAAACCAAACGACATGTCTCGTACCACATTCGTGAACACAAAGCAGACCTAAAACACGGTAGGACCAACACCTCGGCCATGGCAGATCACTGTTATAATTCAGTGGGCTCACATGACATTGACTTCTCCAAGACAGAGGTTCTTTGCAAGCCATCTGGCTACCATGAAAGATTCGTTCATGAGGCTATCCACATATACAAACACAAGAGACAATTTCAACCAATAAGATGGATTCTGGCTTTGCAATCATTGGAAGGATTTGATAAACCATTTCGGGTCTTAATTGATTGTTCACGCTTACGGTGGCTTTCAGACCGCATCCATTATTTTCGTCTCCCCCCTCCTCTTTTCCGAACATAGATGGACTCGTCCATCTGAATAACTGCCAAACCGCTCTCCGTGGTGCTAACGTAAAAAAAAAACCTCCACTTTTTCAAATTTTATTGCTGTGGTTTTCACACCTGATGATGATTGCTTGTGTTGCAGTCAAAACGTCGTGAGAATTTATTGTTTTATATTTTTATTATTTTATTGTTTCCCTTCTATGTGACTTTACCGAAAGAACCAAGAATATGAATCCCTGCAGTCACAAAAGCTTTAATTAAAAATTCTTGGCATCTGCCGAGTGCACTGCTGAGGCAGGCACTCGGGAGAGTGCCCTGTATCACAATATATAATTGTGCCATTTTATCTGTTATCGGCTATTTAAAAATATATCCTCGAATTGCCTACAATAATCAGGTCGTGCTAATGGCCCATTATAACTTCGAAGGTCAGGGGCTGTCAACTTCTGGCAAGTTCTGTGCACCGTGAGATTTGCACAGCACCCATGCCCCTGGACTTAACATTTCAAAATACTCTTTGAGCCAGTCTGTTGCAGTGATGTTTACAGGGAGATGGTTTCCACGTGTGTGATAAATACATGGTTTTTAATATCTGATTACCATGAGTGCAAAGGAGATTGGGGTGGAAATGTTTGTTATGTATGCCAAGGCAGACGGATGTCCCTGTATGGAGTAGATTGACACTTTGTGATGTGGGGTTTTCCTCTGTAGTTATTCACTGGGCATTAACAAACAATAACTGTGGTGTCTAGAAGTACCGTACCAAGTGAGAGGTCAGCTGGTTTGAAAATACTTAGCCCAATGGGGCAACATCACGCTGCCTGATGCCTTGGAAATGTTGACTAGAACACAGAGACTTGTCCCTCAAGTCTAGCTGTGAGCTACCAAAAATATAATGTACCTCCTCATGTACAATACAATCACTGCATCTTGCTTCACAGCCAAAAGTGTATGAATCTCAGCTGGGAGACTGAAAGAAGGGCACAACTAATAGTTGTAATTCATATTTACACAACCCTGTCAATTCTGGCTCTGTATCCAGGGCTGTTTACTGCATTAGTGTTAATGGGTCGTTAAGTTTCTTTGTTTATGAAGTGTTTGAGCCAGCTGGCCAGAATTGGGCAAAATTGAGCCCACTTTTCACTAAGTGTTTCTGACATAACATTACAACTAACAATAACATACTCTTTCGGTCTGTCAGTAAAGTCATGTCGATAGAAAAATAATAAAATAACTTAAAAAATCACGACGTCTCGATCGCAACACAAGCAATACAGCAGGTGGACTAATGAGGCAGGAAGAAATATAGCGAGAGACTTACTGCTGCCAAAAGTTATATAGGTTTGAGATGGGTACAACCCAAGGATAAGTGGGCAGGGCTAGAGATGGCATTTGCAAGTATGTAAATGTAAGATCGCAGAGCTAGGTATACCTCGGCTGTTGTGTTGCTAGAGATTCGCATGTCAATGTGTTAATGTAACCCCATGGTTACAGTGCTGAAGAAGCCATTGTATTGCTAGAGATTAGAGATTAGAATGTCAATGTGAGATGGCTCCCGCAGTAGCGGCTGTGTTAATGAGACACATTCAGCCTATTAAACAACGAGCGCCACTGCCGCATCACGGAAAAGGGAACAGCAGCTTTGTTAGTGAGACATTTAGCCTGTTAATGTAAAGACATTTAACAAGGTAATGTAACTCAGAGCAAGGCCGTAGCCATGGAGTCAACATTGGGGGGGGGACCAAATTTTCCAGGGGGTCTGGGGTCCCTCCCCCTAGAAAAAATTTTAAATTTGAAAACTCATTTCCTGCCATTTCCTGCCTAAAATATTAAAAAAAATTATTTCACACATAGGATGGACTTTTTCTTTATTTTTTACAATAATGTCGAATAGTATATTGTCTTCCATTGCCCTATTTTTTCTTTTTTACTATTTCTTGTTTCATTGTATGTAATGGCAGAGATTAGGGATTAATAAAGTACAACCATAACCACAATCATATTAACATACATCTATTTTATAGCAATATATTTGGGGGGACATTTTTAGCATATTTGAATATTGGGCGGGATGTGACCCCCCCAATATATATTATAATTACGGCCTTGACTCAGAGAGTCGGAAATAACTGCTAACATAGGCAAGTAGAATGGAAGCATCACAGCCAGTTATAACTTTACCTGGTTAATAACGTCCTTCCAATGATTGATCAGTTTGTACCCATCTTCTCTGTTGAAATTGTGTCTGTGTTTATATTACTGGATGGCTTCATGAACAAATCTTTGTTGATAGACAGTGGGTTTGCATAGTACCTTCGTCTTGGAGAAATCAATTTCGTTGGGGAAACTAAGCGACATGTCTCAGACCGTGTTCGCGAACACAAGGCGGATCTGAAACATGGTAGGACCAACACCTCTGCCGTGGCTGATCATTGTTTTAACGCTGTCGGCACACATGAAATTGATTCTCCAAGACGAAGGGACTATGCAAACCTGAAGACGATTGCTTGTGTTGCGATCGAAACGTCGTGATTTTTTATTCTTTTATTAGTTTTCTATCTACGTGACTTTACCGAAAGACCCAAAGAGTATGAATTCCTGCAGTCACGAAAGCTTTAAGTCAAGATTGAACAATAACATATTAAAAAATCGCAGTTAAGAGACACAAAACATGTACAGTGAGGGAAAAAAGTATTTGATCCCCTGCTGATTTTGTACGTTTGCCCACTGACAAAGAAATTATCAGTCTATAATTTTAATGGTAGGTTTATTTGAACAGTGAGAGACAGAATAACAACAACAAAAAATCCAGAAAAACGTATGTCAAAAATAAAAGACACCTGTCCTCAGAAGCAATGAATCAAATCAGATTCCAAACCCTCCACCATGGCCAAGGCCAAAGAGCTCTCCAAGGATGTCAGGGACAAGATTGTAGAACTACACAAGGCTGGAATGGGCTACAATACCATTGGCAAGCAGCTTGGTGAGAAGGTGACAACAGTTGGTGCGATTATTCGTACATGGAAGAAACACAAAAGAACTGTCACTCTCCCTCGGCCTGGGGCTCTATGCAAGATCTCACCTCGTGGAGTTGCAATGATAATGAGAACGGTGAGGAATCAGCCGAGAACGGTGAGGAATCAGCCAAGAACTACACGGGAGGATCTTGTCAATGATCTCAAAGCAGCTGGGACCATAGTCACCAAGGAAACAATTGGTAACACACTACGCCGTGAAGGACTGAAATCCTGCAGCGCCTGCAAGGTCCCCCTGCTCAAGAAAGCACATATACATGCCCGTCTGAAGTTTGCCAATGAACATCTGAATGATTCAGAGGACAACTGGGTGAAAGTGTTGTGGTCAGATGAGACCAAAATGGAGCTCTTTGGCATCAACTCAACTCGCCGTGTTAGGAGGAGGAGGAATGCTGCCTATGACCCCAAGAACACCATCCCCACCGTCAAACATGGAGGTGGAAACATGCTTTGGGGGTGTTTTTCTGCTAAGGGGACAGGACAACTTCACCGCATCAAAGGGACGATGGACGGGGCCATGTACCGTCAAATCTTGGGTGAGAACCTCCTTCCCTCAGCCAGGGCATTGAAAATTGGTCGTGGATGGGTATTCCAGCACGACAATGACCCAAAACACACGGCCAAGGCAACAAAGGAGTGGCTCAAGAAGAAGCACATTAAGGTCCTGGAGTGGCCTAGCCAGTCTCCAGACCTTAATCCCATAGAAAATCTGTGGAGGGAGCTGAAGGTTCGAGTTTCCAAACGTCAGCCTCGAAACCTTAATGACTTGGAGAAGATCTGCAAAGAGGAGTGGGACAAAATCCCTCCTGAGATGTGTGCAAACCTGGTGGTCAACTACAAGAAACGTCTGACCTCTTTGATTGCCAACAAGGGTTTTGCCACCAAGTACTAAGTCATGTTTTGCAGAGGGGTCAAATACTTATTTCCCTCATTAAAATGCAAATCAATTTATAACATTTTTGACATGCGTTTTTCTGGATTTTGTTGTTGTTATTCTCTCTCACACTGTTAAAATAAATCTACCATTAAAATTATAGACTGATCATTTCTTTGTCAGTGGGCAAATGTACAAAATCAGCAGGGGATCAAATACTTTTTTCCCTCACTGTATATTATTAAAATAAGAATTACAATAACATATTTTTAAAAATGAAATCTCATCAATAGTCATCATACTACTCGGTACACTGTTCCAATGCCCAACCAGGCTGCTAGTATTATTATTTAATTTAAAACACCGTGAGCATCAA